GTGATGATGTCATCGACGTTACTGTCCCTCTACAATGTCATGTTAAAGATTCAAAACTTATTTTAACAGAAGTCTCAAAGGTATTGAAGCAATATTATTCAAGGGTTCATGAATATAAGGGCTTGGAACTGCACCATACTTTCATGATGAAGACAACAATCACAAAGTTTTCTTTGGTCTTCCTTGCAGAGTGCTCTTCCTGGTTTTTATGATCCTGCATAGGTGTTGATAAAATGTTACGTGTACGATACAGGTTTCTAGAACAACTACATGAGTGTACAATAGATGATGTAGAACCACTTAAAATACCAAAACAGTGTAAGTATTTATAGAACAATTTACAGTATCGTAAAATACTTTATTTTAGCTGGAATTAATTTTCGCTGAAAAGACTTGAGTGTTTGTATGGAACTTATTTTCACTGATTTTTGACAAGTTGAATGTAAAATATATGAAAAAGGTATATTCGCTCAGTTTGACAGTTCTTTTAAAAAATATATATATATAATCGTTTCTCTTGTTTGTTTTACAGCTCACAGAGTTGTGGAAAGCTGAGAGAAGGCAACACCAAATTTAGATTGTAGACCAGTATCTTTTATTGATATATCACCAACCAACTGTACTGTGTAACTCCAGTATTTGCTTTATGAGAAGTGCACCCTTATAAAAGTACATATTGTATACTGGATCATTAAAATATGGATTATTTTGCCCATAGATAATACATGTGTAATTTTAGTAAGTACATGCACTACTAATAAAGCAAATAAAGCACAGTTTACTCAAAATTGTATAGCTATTTTAGCAGAATATGTAATCTATGTAAAGATTGGTGATACAAATGTTACTAAAACATTATCACTTTAATTAGTCATGTTGCTGATTGTTTTTTTTTTGAATTCTTGAGGTTTTGCTCCTAGAATATTAGAACCCTATTGGAAACACTGTATATAGAAATATTTTCAAACTCATGAATACTGTATTTTTCTTTAATTTAGAGATATTTTGTGAATTTCACAAGACAGAAGAATTTGTTGTCATGAAATTGGGATCAACAGTATTACTGTAATAGTGCTCTTCCCAGGTTCTTTAAAACATCACAAATGCTTGGGATAACAGCTAGTTACTTTCATGAAATTTCATTCATGAGAATAAATACCTATACATCTAAACCATCAAGTCAGATTTGATGCAATAGCTATGATTTTTTGAAGTGAATGCTTCTATGAATGACAAAAGCAAATAGGGGGGGGGGGGGCTCAAAATTGTTTCCATGGAAACAGCAACTAGATGAACAAACCAATACAATAATTGAGTTCATAATATAAAACTATTTGGCATTTATTAAATAATGATTTTAAATTTCACTATGTTCACAGATAAATAAAATCTGCTAAATTGAATCTATGTGAACATGTAAAATAACAATAAAACTCATTGTTTCTTTGACAAATCTGTAATTAAAATGCAGTGAATATGCTCAAAACACCATAATAGGGAAATTAAATGTTAAGTGAAAATAAACGATTTTACAGTACCTGACGTGTTTTCCCCAGGCTTTCAAATATAATGTCATAGGAAAGAATTTAACACAATTTTCAGGAATTTTTTGTGAAAAAACTGATTACCCTTGGGGGTTTACATTAGTAATGTATAGCTGCATTTCTTGGGGTGGGGGGCAATCATTTCACTCAACTCATTTCTTCATTGCCATGTATGTGTATATTCGTTTAGTACTTGAATGTGTAACTCGCAACAACAGAATTTCATGTGATGTGACTTTGGTAAGAGTAATACAAAATTTTGTAAATGATTGTTGACTGGCAGTAACTGTTTTTGTCTC